AATATCTTTCTTTGCTGGCTGTTTGGAAGATGGATTTGACGGGGCTGGACCTGAGGCGAAGAGACCAGTAAGAAAGCTATTGTTGTCCCGTAACTGGGAGAAGATTACGCCTGAGCTAGGACAGTGGGAGGACGTAGAGGAAGAGAGGGTTTTGAGAAATTCCCAGAGGTGCAATCATTGGAACTTGGTGCGCTAGACTGTCTGCCCGGAGAAAGAGGAGGGGGAGTTCAACAGAACTTCAGGTTTCTAGCGCCAGTGATGAAATGGATGCTGGTTCCACTCACTGGGAGAGAGATGGCTGGAGGAGGACGGGGTCCTGCGTCCTGGGCCTCTATCCACTTCTACAGCTGGAAGCGATTAAGTGCCCACTCTGTGGTGACACGTTATTGGGACGGACAAAAGAGAAGGTCCCTGTTACTGAGGAATGTATTGTCTAATTATGGAGCGTGCACGAACAAATTGAACTCCTACATCTTACAGGAAAGAATCGAGCTCTAAGTTGTGTGATAAAAATGATATAATAGGCTAGGCATCCATCGCTCCATTAATTTATTCTCAGTGAGCGTTAACTCTACCAGATAGATAATATCACCATTTTACGGAAGAGAAAACTAAGCCTCAGAGAGTTTAAATAACTTACAGGAGGATCAGTAGACCCACCAGTTTATTAGATGTCTTTATTTGGGTGTCACATGGGCATCTCAAATTCAATAGGTCTTACAATGGAGCTCTACGATACCCAAGGCACAGGCAACAAAACAAAAAAATAAACAAGTAGGACTATGTCAAGCTAAAAAGCTTCTGCACAGCAAAGGGAACCATCAGTAAAATGAAAAGGCGACCTACACAATGGGAGAAAATGTTTGCAAAGAACACATCCCGTAAGGGGTTAATATCCAAACTATATAAGCAACTCAATAGAAAAAACCCTCAAATAATCCAATGAAAAATGAACAAAGGACCGAGATAGACATTTTCTCAAAGATCAAAGAAGATATTTAAATGGCCAACAGGTACATGAAAAGGTGCTCAGCATCACTGATCAACAGGGAAATGCAAATCAGAACCACAATGAGGTATCACCTCACACCCGTCAGAGCCAACATCGAAAAGACAAGAGACAACAAATGGGGGAGGGAATGTGAAGAAAAGGGAACCCTTGTGTGTGGGAATGTAAATTCACAGCCACTATGGAAAACAGTATGGAGGCTCCTCAAAAGATTAAAAATAGAACTAGCATATGAGTCAGCAATTCTATTTCTGGGTATATAGCCAAAGGAAACAAAATTACTGTACTGAACAGATACATGCACCCCCTTGTTCATTGTAACATTATTTACAACAGCTAAGACAAAAAAAGGTGTCTATCACTAGATACATGGAAAATGATGTGAACACACACACACACACACACACACACACACACACACACACACAGTGGAATACTATTCAGCCATAAAAAGAAGGAAATCTTGCCATTTGCAACAACATGGAGGGAACTTGATGGCATTATGCTAAGTGAAATAAGTCAGAGGAAGACAACTATAGGATCTCATCTGTGGAATCTAAGACAAACTCATGGAAACAGAGATCAGATTTTTGGTTGCCAGAGGTGGAGGGGGGAGGTGGTGCGGGAATTGGGCGAAGTTGGTCAAAAGGTACAAACTCATAGTTATAAGATAAAAAAAAATTCAAAGGATGTAATACACAGCATGGTGACTATAATTAACCATATGGTACATTTGAAGGTGGCTCAGAGAGTCGATCTTCGAAGTTCTCATTACAAGGAAAAGAATTTAGAACGCTGTCAGGTGAATCATTTCACCGTACGTGTACGAAGAAATCACGATGTTGTGCACCTCAAATTTATATAATGTTATCTGTCAATTATATCTTAATAATACTGAAAAAAAAAAAAAAGAAAATCATTGTCGACTCCCACTAACTTCTATGTTACCCAACTTGGTGGCTATCCCAGCACGAGAAAGTGGAAAGCGCGTGAGTTTGGGCGTCATAAGACTTAGGTTCAAATTCTGACTAGGCTCGTGCTGAGTTACTTTTGTGATTATTTGACATCACTGAGACCCAGCTCCATGAGAGTCTGAATTCATCAGGCTGGGCCAATCCCAGACAAGGGAAGGGAGCTGACTTCCTCCTCCTGGATGGGTATTAGATGCTTAGGGAGGAGTTCAGGCTGGTGGAAGGATGCTCGGGCCCAGGGCTGCCCCTTCTCCTGGGGCCCAGGGACCACCCTGAGCCCTGTTCTTTTGTCAGTTGCCTTGGGGACACACATCTCTGAGCTTGGTCTTCTATGTACAGAAGTGCTCCCA